AGGGGTTGGAAGCCCTTTCCCAACTCCCAAGGAGTTCTTCAGCCCTCCCCCGGGGCTCCTCGAGACCGCTCAGTCCTTGCCCGAGGGAGCTGCAATCTCGCAGGCCGGGACCGCGCCTCTATTGCAGTCTATACGGTAGCTATATCTACCAAGTTTCAGCCGCCCCTGGCTGTCTTGCCCAGTCCGGGGCTCCACTGGGCTGATGGCCCAGGCTCACAAACCCCGCAGGGTCTTACCCTTGTGCCAGAAGGTCCGGCCGCGTTTCGGAACGGTGCGCATCTGCACGAGCGCACTCCCACCGGTGTCCACTTCCCTGCCAGGCACTTCCGGTTCTGCTTCCCCCTTTCCTGATGCCGGCGTCTCTTTTATGTCGGCCCTCGCTGTCCTGGCCCCTCCTTCCTCCGTGCACCTGGGAAAAGGTCTGTTCTTGCCCTGTACTCTGGGTTTTAGTGCGGGACCTTAGCGCGATTGTGTCAGGGCGGGGAGTCCTGGAGCCCGCCGGCTCCTCCTCTCCCTCACAGTCCACAGCATGGGCTGCATGTGGCATCTCAGACTGATTGCCTATCCATGGGCTCAGCCCATGCACCTTGTGTAATGCATGGGTCCAGGCCAGCACATAAAGTCAGTTCAGTGACTTGTGGGCCATATCACGTGGCTCCATGGACTGTATCTAGCCCATGCGCTATATGTTTAACATCCCTGCTGTAGAGGGTTCCTCATATACTATGTTTTCTATGTTTTCATTGCTTGCATTGGGTTTAAGGGACAGCCAAGCAGGAGGGACAACTTTAAAAAGAAGGAACATAAAACAACATGTCTTTGAAACTCTTTTAGGAAGGAAAGAAGAAACCTAAAAATATCTCAAACTCTTTTTATGTCATCTGCTCTTTGCAGTCCTGCTACACCCTGTACTTAAGGTTTACTTTCAGGACAACAATACAGTACTCACTGCTGGCAGTTGTCAGAGCTACTGCACATGTGCATGTGTACTGTTAATTTTTTTTCCCCTTGCATGTGTACTTTAAACAGTTTTCTTATAACTCTTTTGAAAATGTGCTACACAAAGGTGCTGAAGTATCAGTTAGTTCAGACTCTAGGTAACTGCTTTTTTCTCTTTCAGCTATGAAAGTAAACAGAAGAATTTGGATCAGATATTGAACTGTTCAATCCAAAACACATTCTTTTTATTTTAACTGCACTGCATCAAGTTGACATATAATGTGACACCACATAACATAACATAAAACAGCATTAGTCTACATAACTTATTAGAAATTAAAAATAAATATTTCTTTTGGATCTCATTGGTGCTATCAATTTAAACTGGCACATCTCTAAACGATGTTTGTTCCACATGTCCTGACACTTAACCACTTGCTTAGGTGAAGAAAGAAAGACAACTCTGAGATATATTAGGTAATAACACATACAATATCCCTATACTCTTGGCTCCCAGAAACTCAGACAAAAAGTAGTTCTTTTCACTGATTTTTTTCATCTTTGTTTGGATATTTTTGCTGATGCTTTCCTCACTCTCTAATATGTTACCTGTATGCTTTAAAATAAAAAAAATAAAACATTCCCAAAATGAAATATGAATGGAACAAATAATTAAATACATATTGAATTCCTTTATGCAAAAATTAGACTGGTATATTGGGAAATTGAGACAATAATTTAATATTTACTAGTAACCTAATGCTATAATTCCTGACATGTATAACATTTACTTTTATTCAGATTTATTTAGAGATATTAATTAATCCATGCTAACACCCTGTGAGGTTACATCCCAAGTTTCCAGATGGGAGAACTGAGACAGAGTGCTAGGCGCATTCATTTTCAAAAGTGTATGCTTCAAAATTTGCCCCTAATTTTGGTACAGAACAAAAATGTGCCCCTAATTTTGATCCTTCAGTATTTGGTTGCAATTCCATGGGTATGATTTCCAGACATGCTGAGTAGCTACAACAATGATTTCAGCTGAAGATGTAAGTCTTACCTTTCTGTGGAAAAGAAGTTCAGGGTCTCCTATTGGGAAACCAAACATAGTAACATTTGACCTAAAAAACATACTCAAGGTCTTAATGGAAAGGGAGGATATATGGCAAAGCCAAGAGTAGAATACAAGTGCCCCAGCACCTGATTCTGTGGGTGTACTACCTGGATGCTGCAGGGCATGTAAGCTCAGATGGAAGCAGGGTATATTAGCCCAAGTCAACTACAACACTAACATCTACACTACTTAGGTTACCGGAGCTAGTGGCTAAATACAGACAGTTAAAAAGCCTGTGGTAGAATCGATTCAGTCTTTGCAGGTTAGTCTAAACTGCACAGATTAAATTGAAACAGAAGGGAACAGACATTTACCTTTGATTCAGGGAATGCGGCCAAATGCCTGCAATGGCTCAGGCCACCAACCAGGGGGTGCTAGAGTACAATTCTCTGGCTGTGTGTTCACTTTATCTTCCTCCTGCCCCGGAGGTCTCTGGGATTTGCGGTCCAAAATCAGAGTAGCAGGACTCTGCAGGGTTGCTCATCACTTCCTTTTCCTGCTTCCACGTGCCTCTGGGATTTGTAGTCCACAATCACAGCCAGCAGTAAGTAAGTTTGAGTTGGGAAGGGGTGTTTAACTCCACTCCCTGGCCCTAGACCTCAGTTGGATTTTGCCTGGAGGGGGCAGTCCTCACCCTGCAGACTGGGCTGCATCCCCAGCTGAGCTTACCTTGTTCACCCTGGTCAGCCAGCCCTCACTGCTCCAGCTAGGGAGCAGAGGTCTGCAGAGCTAGACCTGTTCTCTGGAGCAGACAGCACAGCCCACCCCAGCCCAGGGTTGCAAAGCATGCTGGGATGCTGGGGGACTGTGATTTAACTTGAACCAGGAAGGGGCCTGGGACGGAAGTTTCATAAACTGGTTTGACCCAAATCAGTTAAGTCTGACACTACATTCAACCAGGTTTATCTTAAACCAGTTTCAGCCATTTTGACACTGGTTTATGTGCATTGAGCTTCTGTTCTGTTACAGGTTTAAACCAGTTTCTGATCACTTAAACCAGTGTATGTGTAACTTCTGTCCCTAGCCAGTGTGTTCAGAGTTAGCTCAGGTATATGTACTTGATAGTCCATCATACCATGTAGATATTATTTCATCCAGAAGGCCATTCTGCCTTCTAGATTTGCCAGTAGACATGGATTTACTACTTGCACCATTTTTGGATAGATTTTTTTTCTGCTTTTTAACAGATAAATATCATTTTTATTATTTACTCGCTTCCAAATTTTAATGAGTAGTTCTTGTGTTAACTGTCTCTTTCCTATGGGTCATATTTTCTTCTATACCAATTTCCCTCCCTGAATGAAGGCTATATTGATCCTTCAAAAGTATTGTATACCTGTACTCAGGTGACTGACAGTCTATGTGCCTGCCTTTGAGGTAATTCCTAACAGGAGCAGCAGTTGTCAGATAGTATTTGTGTTGTTAGAACTCACTGCTATATCAGCAACCCTGACATACTTGAGTGAAAATCAAACATGTTGACCATTTCCCTGGATCTCAATACACCAAAGTCTTCTCCATATCTCTTGTTAGGCATAGCCTACAAAAGAGGAATTGGAACTTTACTTAGAACCCTCTATGGGGCTCTTAATTGACTGTCTTCTTTAATTGAGTAAGTGCACACACCTGGGTACTCTCATCCCCACCCTCATTTATTTGGCAGTCGCTTGTGTATCCATACCCTGAGACTGTCGGCTTCTTAGAGGAGGGTTGGTCTTTTTGTTGCATGTTCATGCAGTGCTGAGTATCATAGAAAACAACTTGTCCTAGTCTGTGACTGGTTTTCCCATGTGTTTCCACAAGTGAAGTCATCGTCATTATCAGGTTAGAAAAAAATTGGCCTTTCTCCCTTTGATTTTTTTACTTCCCTATTATGCACAGCCAGAAATTTGCTCCAAATTTGTAAGAATTAATATGCAGGTGTACCATAATATTAGGTATTTATCAATTCATCACATGCTTTTAATTTTTATCCAGAGAAGCCTTTTACCCAGTATCACTGCAGTGAACCTAGTAAAAAACAATGGTGAATAAATCACAAATAGAAGCAATGGTTTATAAAATGTATATAACATCATATAGAGCAACCGTGTAAACATATTCAATTTCATGGCGTACTGTTAGGCAAGATTTATGGTAGCTGTTGATGGAGCAGAGTAAACTAGCCAAAACAAGCCAGAGAATCTGGGCAAACATCTCTAACTATATAATGTATACATATGTAATGAATATAAATACATAAGCCTATGTGGTCAGATCCAGGTCTTACTGAACTCAATGGCACAATGCCCATTGACTTCATCAAGACTGAAATGTAACTCATATTTAGGGACATCAGAAACATGAACTTCAAATAGCCCACTTGTGTGCATATGCACATATATGTGCATGCACTGATGTATGTGTATTTTTTAACATTCTGTATCTCTGTTAGTGTTAATGCCTTAGGCCATGACCCTACAATAAATTCAGTGTGTTCAGACTCTTGTGCCTATAGAGTTTTGTTAACTTTCACTGGACCCTGCATGGACACAAGGACTTGCCTACACTGATCTGAATACCAAACCAAGACTCACAATGGCTAGTACTTAAAAAACTTAATAATCTAATTTAAATTGTAATAATATAATCTCTACATCTTGTTTAGATCCTTTAAGACTCTTAGTCTGAGTGATGAAGGTAGCCTCATTGGAGTTTTATTTTCTTTTTGTTCTATTTTTGCTCTAACCCTCATTTACCAGTATAATGTTGGTATTGAGCTTCCTAACTGTTCAAGAATCTTTACCTTAGAAGAAAAAATAAAAAAATGCAAGCTTTCCATTCTACTTTTTTTTCCACAAAATTTTTTATCAGGTGCTCTCCATCCCCAAACAATGTTTACCAATTACTACTGTTTAAACTTCAACTGGTCTTGATGGTGCTTTTGTTTCTCACTCACCTGCAGAGCCTGGAGTTTGCACTGTATTTGGAGACCCCCACTACAACACTTTTGATGGACGGACATTTAACTTTCAGGGAACATGTCAGTACGTTTTGACGAAAGACTGCTCCTCCTCTGCCTCGTCCTTCCAGGTGCTGGTGAAAAACGATGCTCGTCGGACCCGATCTTTCTCTTGGACAAAATCTGTGGACCTTGTGTTGGGCAGAAATATGATCAGCCTCCAGCAGCACCTTACTGTGAAGTGGAATGGGACCCGGATATCACTCCCTTGCAAGACACCACATTTTCAGATCGACTTGGATGGTTATTTGCTGAAAGTAACAACCAAAGCAGGTGGGGCTAAAAAGAATGTGCTTGCTCTAAGTCTGAAATGTTGGCATAAGCACAAAAGATGTGGTGCCTCTAGTGAACTCACCAAATGTCACAATTCTGGAATTGTGAACATGAAGAAATCAAAATGGATTGGTAATAATTATATTTATACTTCCCTAGAGCTTGATGTCTGACTATCTCAAAGTGCTCTATTAACCTCACACTCCTGATGCATGTGTACAGAGATATTGATATGCAAATTTTACAGACTCAGATAGAACAGCTTTTAAAAATGTATTTATTTCTGCAAATGGGAAACAAGTGCTACAGTGCATGAGTACATATGTGAATTTAACTTCCAGTAATTTCTAAATGGTCATCATTTGATAGTAACCAATAACACTAAACAACAGGAAATTGATTCTCAAATATGACCTTAATTTTTCCAATCACAGCAATAAATCATACCCTTTTTCTGTGTGTGATGTGTATAAAATCACAATTCTGCACCTGCAGTGAATGGCCAGGAAAAGACTGAATGATCTGCAGGTGCAAAAATCACAGAAACAATTCACTGGGGATGCCCACCAAAATACATGCCTCAGTTTGAAAACTGGTACCAGGATGCTGTGTAATATTAGCTTGAAGGATTCTCTCTCTGTCCAAATGAGAGCTTGTCAATGCAGAATTGTGATTTGGTCTTCTGTTATAGAACTAGAAGTGGGAGAAAATGGGAAAATTCAGAACATCTGGTACCTTTTGTGAAGGAAAAAGGAAGGGAGAGGGAGCAGACTCTCAGGTCTGTAAGGTCCTGGCAAAAACGTTAATTGTCAAAATACTAGACCATAGGGCTTACATGTGTTTTGATAAACTGTTCTGAGACTATAATGTTCTGTTGAAGATAAATACTGAGTGGAAGTAAAGAAATTATGTATTAGCATGTGTCAGGTACTTCTGCAGTCCAGAGAGATTTCACTTGTACAGTGAAGTACTGTTTCAGTGAGAATAATATTTACTGTTAATTCAATTAAATGCCATGTAAAAAGAGTGAAACCAATCTCTCTTTAAAAAGTGGTAAGATTACAGACATAAGGTAAAGTCACATTCATTATCTGGAGTCATTTTTTAGGGATACCCTACAACCCACCGCTGAGTTGAGAATTTATACACCTCTTCATGTATCCACTGGAAATGTAACCCTGCATAATGTGGATCCCAGCTTTGAGCTTGCTCTTCAAAATGGCAAGGCAGATTTTTGTGGCTGTCTGTAAAATGCACACAAGATAACCATTATTCCCATGTTCTAATTAAAAGCATCTTGAGATTTTCTCTTTGCAGCCAGCTGAACACTGCAAGTTGTAGTGATGTGGAATTCATTAGCCAACCACAGGCCAAAGCGACATTCTCAATCAAATTTGACTGGCAGCTAATGCTGCTGCTACTCTGTTAATTGTTGGGATAAGCCCAAAGAACGACTGCATGTAACCCTCCCACCCCGTGTTGGCAGATGCAGCGCAAACATGGCATATGACAAAATACCAAGGAGTGTGTAATCACCACCAATTATAGTTTAAATAATTCTTCCCCTTAACAGTCACGGATCAGATTCCTTTTACTGAAAGCTTCACTAAGAGCCAATTTCTCTTTGCCTTGGCACACAAAGCTTGAAAAGCAACTGAACTGCATGGCTCCACTTTGGTGGGGGAAGGACAAGCTACTGACAGTCTGTTCAGGGAGATGGAATGTGCCCAGTCAGACTGCCTGGAAGTTAGAATTTCTGTTCTGTAGGAAATTCTAAATTTGGGGGGAAAAATATACCTTCTTCAGAGGAAAAAAAGAGAATTTTTGAAGCTTCTTCCAGGTGCTGGTATCTGAGAAAAATCATTTAGAAATAATCCATTGTTTCATTTAAAAAATGTAAAATGCAACTCACCCTGTGAGTACAAATTCTAGTGTTTTTGGCTCAGCATGAGCTCACCCAGCAGCGCCCAAGTTCCCAACTCCATGGCAGGGAGCCTGGATCTCTGCTATCCCTGGCACCCAGGCAGCCTGCATGGAAAGGCTGTCCTTAGAGGTATAGACCATGGAGCCTAAGTTCCTATGTGCTCCACCAGGCATTTTGGCAGGAGCTTAGTTGGAACCTTGCCTGTGTTTAGTTGGAAATTCACTGAAACCAATATGTTCCCCAGAAATATTCCAGGTTAGACAAACCAGCCTTTTACAATGGGACCGTTTTGCTGAAAAATTCCTGACCAGCTCTAGTCCTGAGTATCCAGAAGCAGCAACTGTGATGCCCCATTTCCATGACAGTGCAGATAGTTTTAGGCTTGTAATGATGCAGGTTTTTTTTAAAATTTCCATGTTGGAAATAGAAGGGAGCACAGCAGATGTTGTGATGGAGTTTTTTCCTCCACTGGCAGGTTGCGGGATGAATCTGTCTGCTCAGCACCTGTGCAGAACCTCTGCATGAACCACATTTGCTCAGGCTTCACGTACTGGGATTTGCCCCTAAATCCATAGAGAAGAGTCATGTCTGCCAGATCTTGAGGATACCTCTACCGTGAGAAATCCTACAGAACAACTGGAAAGAGCCCCCAGCATATGAATTGCAGTGTGTGATGTGCATAAATCCAGAAAGGATTTCTAATGCAGGATAGCACATGCTGTGCCAAGTTAAGAAGGCAAGCAACACATTTGTTAAGCATTCCCCAATGCAAGGGGAAAATTGGAAACCCCTATGAAGCAACTCAAAAAATGTTCCTATTCTGCATGTCCCGTGATGGGACAGATACTATGTCCTTTGGCCTCAAATCCTGCCAATCACTTAAATCCTGATTCTTGTCCAAGAGAACGGGAAACTCATCCGTTTGGGAAAGAAAAAAGAAATAGGCACCAAACAACACTTCCAAATAATTTCTGTCTGCCAAGCGGACAATTTTCAAACATTGTTCCATAGACTAATCCCCTTTGTTACAGCTCTTGTTAATCTATTTAAATAAACTACATTTTCCACGTATGCACAAACAGAAAGATACATGCTATGCAGTGTGAACAGGCAGCAGCAAGGATAGTGGGTGTATCATGGTGCTAGCTACAAAATTCATAGCACCAATAGTCTTTCCTTGTTACTGGAAATCAAAAAAGCTCTGTTATGGGGAGAAGTCTATATGCTCTTCATTAAAATAAATAAAATAAAGGGGAATACATCCTTAAAAATAAGCAGTATGAGACAGTTACCAAGTGTTCATTTGAACCTGAAATATTAAAGCAGGATATAATGTAATTATACTATATGCAATTAGTGAAAAGTACATCCTGTTTTATGAGTGTGACAGTGTCCATCTTGGCCAGTGCTGACAATCGAAGCATAAACCTCCTGATTTAGAAGTGTGAATTTCTATAGCTTCAGCTGAAGTCAACTGGTGCCTTGGGAATGATATCTTCTGTAGTCAGGGCCCATAGGATGACATATAACACACATTCATCAGTAGGTTACATTATCTCTGAATGGCTTTACATTTAGATTGCACAACCTTTACTAATACTGGACAGCATGAGTTGTTTCAGTGGAGTCAATTAATGCTTCTTCAGCAATCGAGCTACTGTTGGAAAATGAATGTGGAGCTATTAATCTGAACCAACCTCCTTTCTTGCCTTTGTGACTTCATTTAAGCAGCATGATGGAGCTCATTTGGAGAATGAGTTGAGCATTTACTTCTAAATTAGATTTATATCGTAAACAGAGATGGACTTAAAATTTGGATCTTGACACTTCAAGGTTTGAGAAAGCTTATCTGAGTTTTCCATATGAAGTGTACTCAATTTACAAAATAATGGCAGCTCTTCTAATAGCTGGCATGGCAAGATCAGCCTGGTGTCCGAAAATCAAGCTGTGTTTTGTTTTGTGCAATGTTGTCAGAAGCAAAGGTGGCTGGGATCAGATTCCACTAGCAACGCTGTGGGTGATGCCCGATGCAATCTGAAAGGCAGGTCTGCTCCGTTTCATTTTGCAAACTGTTTGTCAACAGTAGTGAAAGCTTGTTGCATCTTCAGTAAACTAAATAATAACTGTAATGCCCCTGAAAGAAGATGCAGTGGCTTTGACAATTCAAGCGTTATAACAATTTGTCAAATTATTTTTAGACATGGGTTAAATAAGGATATGTTTAGATGTTGCACTACACACTTGCACTTTCTTATGAAGGATGCACTGCCTTCATAAGAAACCATGAAACTGTGAGGGAGCACACTGAATGGGTACCTGTCAGAAGTGTGTCCTCTGGGATATCAAAACCACTGATAGTGGATGCATGGGGGGATGACACAGTAATGAATGGGGGATAGATTACTCTAGTTATGCCCTGTTCAATACTCTGCTTCTAAAGTATCTACTGCTGCCACTGTTGAATGCCGGGCTAGAACCATTGGTCTGATTCAGTCTGGCATTTGTTATATTCTTATCTACTTGACAACTGTTTTCCCAAAACACACGATAACATGTCTCAAACCATGTCTCAAACATAGCGTGGAAAAGACAATCTGTACCAGTGACAAAAAACCCCTTTTGCAGCCATTGTTCTGATTACAGTTACTTCTGAGGCACCTTCTATTTGAGCAGTTATGGAAACTGAAAATGTAATATGAGTCAATAAGGCTTATTGCTAAAGGAACCATTTCTGATTTGAATGGAGTGATTGGTATGTTAAGTTACTTTTATGAATATGCAGGGAATAGTGATCATATGGGACATTTTTAGATGTGTGTGTGATGCAGCGCCGGGAGCTTTTGAAAGTGCCTAGTGCTGCATTGCATGCATTTGTATAAATGGCGAGATGTGTATCAGCGGTGGGAAAATGGTGGTGGTGTGCTTTTGAACTAAAACACCTTCAATGTGTTCAAACACATTGAAGGTGTTTTAGTTCAAAAGCACGTCCACTGCCACTTACCCAGCGCTGATGCACTGTTTATACAAATACAAGAGATGCAGCTCTGGGCACGTCAGCTTGCATGTGGAGCAGAATCTCCGGTGCATCACAGCATGAAAAGGTATGTGTATAAATGCCCATGAAGCCTGAAAGAAGAGGGTGTAAAGAAATCCTGGTTCTGTTCCTGGCTGTGCCACAGGTGTCTTGTGTGAATCTGACCAAGGCACAAATTTTCTGGGTCTTGTTTCTAGTAGAATGCAGGTAATGATACAGGGAAGCCGGGAGGATATATAACTGTTGGTCACATGCTTTGTGATATTCCAACGGAAAGCATTCCCTAAGCTAAAGTATTATTTTCAGATGGCACTGACAATAGGAATGAAGGTAAAGAGTAACAATTTCTGATAGACCTTGAACCTCAGTAATTGCCAATGTTCTTTTATTTCAAAACAATATCAAAAGGTTGTTCTTTTAGCATCTATATTTTTACTTCCCATAGAAAACAATTTAAAACTTGACATCCTGAAGGTACACAATTTTAGTTTTGAGAGAGAGTTGTTAAACACAGAATGAAACAATGCATAGGATCATAGGCAAGTAGGGCTGGAAGGGACCTCATCAATATCTCAATCCAAGCTTCTGCATCTCAAACCCGCCTCCTCTTGCTTTCAAATGTTTTGCTAATTTATGGGAATTTCATGGGCAAAAGTTGGAATGAACTACAGGGATCTGAACCTCCTTTAAATTAACCATTTTGAATCCTCTTCCAGGTGGTGTGCTCTGAGCATGACTACCCATTTGAATGTCTTTATTGATTTATGTAAAGTAAGTTTACTAGTCTCAGACTAAGGACATAAATACAATCCTATTCCACCTTGCTTATGTCCTTGAAAAACAGTTAATACAAAAGGTGGATGTGTTCTCCTTCTCACTACTTTTCTGTGACTCAGTCTTAAGGACAAGGTGGTGGTCTGTTACAAAAGTAGATCCAGTAATGGATATTTATGGACTTGAACAGGGTGGAATAGAATTGCACTCCAGCACTAAAGTCCATTTAGGTGTCCAACAGGTGGAGTAGAACCTGATCTCTAGGTATCCGTAACTAAAAGGGTTATTGACTGTCCATATCAGCATAAAGAACAAGGAATAAATGAGCTTTCAGAGCAAGTGGTAGCTCCATAACTCATTGTTGGTGTGCTGTGGTGTAGGCAAAATTGTATACGGTTGCTGCCTGTACTCTGTAAAATTCTGGCTGCATTGAAGTTCCAGGCAATTTTGCTACTGACTCCAGTGAGGCCAGGATTTCACCCAGAATGCTTCTGTCTCATCTACAACTTTGGATTAAAAGAAACCCTCCTGTCTTTAGTACTCAAATTCTTACAATATACTGTAATTTACTCTGATTTGAATAGGGTGACCATATTATTTTTAAGGAAATCCAAAACACTGACCCTCATCCCCTCTGGCTGATCCTCACCCCCAGCAGGAGCGGTGCCCAGCCCAGCCTGCCCCTTGACTCCAGCCACTGCTCAGGAGGAGCCAAGCTGGGCAATGTGGGTGGGGTGGCACCATCTGGGACTTTTGTCTGCATTTTTACCAACCAGCCAGGACACAGGGACAGCTTACAAAATCTGTCCCAGCCTACAAAATCAGTACTGAAATTTATCCTGGCCAGACTGGAACATATGGTCACCCTAGATCTGAGAAATATTGCACTTCCTGAACAGTTCTATGCAAAAGACCCAAAATCCAGCAATATTATGGGATGAAAGCAAAGGTTTCATTTAGTTCCTCAGGCACACTGTTTTGTAAACATAAACTGTGCTTAATTATTATAAAGTTTTTTTTGTCTTCTTCCTTTCTGCATCAGGCTTAGAAATCTCCTGGGATGGGGACAGTTTTGTTGAAGTCATGGCAGCACCTCATTTGAAGGGCAAACTCTGTGGTTTGTGTGGCAACTACAATGGACACAAGAGAGATGACCTGATTGGAGGTGACGGCAATTTTAAGTTTGAGGTGGATGACTTTGCTGAGTCCTGGCGCATTGAGTCAAATGAGTTTTGCAGTCGCCCACAGAGGAAGCCTGCACCTGAACTGTGCCAAGGAACAGTGAGGGTAAAACTCAGAGCCCACCGGGAATGCCAGAAACTCAAAGCCTGGGAGTTTCAGAATTGTCACTCAACAGTGGATTATACTAACTTCTACCGGTAAGTGCAGTCCACTAATGAGCCAGGAGGGAAATAATAGAGAGCTTCTGAGTGGAAATATAAGGATGCAATCCTGTGCTCAGTCTCAGTTTAGATTTCATAGACATTTGGGCTGGAAGGGACCCCAGAGGATCATCGAGTCCAGCCCCCTGCCCCAGGGGCAGGAAGCATCCAAATACAAGATAAGCATCCAAATGTGTCTTGAGGGTGCTCAAAGTGGGTGCTTCAACCACCTCCGGCAGCAGTCTATTCCAAAACTTGGGGGTTCGGACAGTGAAGAAGTTCTTTCTTATGTCCA